AAAATTCAAAGTCGATGGGATAAAAAAAAATACAAACTAATTTTTATTCGCCGTCATAATTCGGTTGATACGAAATTTTCCATATACACTGGCGATCAAAAGTGAGTGCATAGGGGGTTTTTCTTAAATATTTGCAACGTTTTTCAAGTCACATTGTTTTGTTACTTTTTTATAAAAATATAGTTCATGCTTAAATCAAAACCTTATGATGATTATCAAACTTTATACAGAACTAAGGAAAATTCAACAAATTTTCGACCAAATTTTGAACTTTTAATTTGAATTTTTAGACAAATTTTGAGTACGCAGATAGATCGCTTTTCAATTCTAGTAACTTTTGCACTTTTTATGCTATATAAAAGAGAATTTCTTGTAGAATAAAATGCGCAAGACCGTTTGCAAACAAAGTTAAAAAAAATTGACGCTATATTTTATAAATTGCGCTTGTTATGTGCATAAACCGTCGGTAAAAAAAATTCATTAAAAATCAACGCGATTCTTTAGCTGGCTAAAACTTTCACTTGTTTCACTAGAATTATATAACCGATCTATCTGCATACCCAAAATTTTTCTAAAAATTCAGATTAAAAAGTTCAAAATTTAGAAGAAAATTTGTTGAATTTTTCTACGTTCTATATAAAGTTTGACTTGTGTGGTTTTTATAAAAAAATAACAAAAAATTTTACTTGAAAAACTTTTCAATTTTGTGTTTTTTTTTCAATAAAAATTTTTTTTGCGGAGTTCCCTGCGCAAACTTTTTTAACGAATTGTGACAAAAACGATATTTTTATTGGCTTTTCATCAGTCCTCATCCTCTCCTTATAGGTAGTAATAGACATATGCCTAATGTACATATGTATGTGTGTACAGCCGGTTATTTCGGGCATTATAGTCAGGAAATATTTATAAAAAAAATGTAATTGTTTTGAAACATAAAGGTTAACAAATCGTGGCCATTTCTTTTACGATTACTATTCTCATCATCATTTCTATTACCATTACCCTTAACATTACCACTACCTCTGGCATTCCTATTACCATTACCATTACCATTACCATTACCATTACCATTACCATAACTATTATCTTCAACATAACCAATACCATTAACATTATCATTACAATTACCATTACACTTAAAATTCCCATTATCAGTATCATTACTATTAGGATTACCATAACGTTTATAATTACCCTTGACATTCCCATTCATGACAATTATCATAACCAAAATCTCATTTTTTTTAATATTTTATCGGTACTTTGGTTTTTTCTTAAATATTTATTACAAACATTCGCTACGCAAGCTAGTTTATATGTATTTATAAAATCGATATGCATGTATGTATGTATGCCATTGTACATATGTACAACTTGTTGGTATGTATATACATATATTCGTATGTCTGTAGATGGGCGCTTTTAACAAAATCAAATAACATAAATCCTCTTGAGTGCGCGCATAAATGGTTTGTTGTGCAAATAAACGTTTTATTCCTTGACACACAATTACTTCCAATCACTGAATGACTATTGAAAGCGACAAAAAGAAAAAAAAAAATTGTCTCACGCAAAAAAACGAGAAGATCCTTAAGAAACTAGAAAACTTAAAATAGTTGAAATTTTCTACGGCTGTAGCTCCTTCGAGGAAACTAACTCTAAAAGTCAATAGAATAGGAGAAACAAGTGGGAGACCGAAAGGATGTGATGAATGCAGTTCTATCCATACACACATGCAAACAAATCTACATACATACATATATATTTCTATGCGTTACTTGCCGATAAAAGCAGACACGAGGAGGCTGTCAGTCTATCATTTAGTCGGCCATTTGTTAAGTCAGTCTGTCAATAAGTATGTAGTAGCATAGCATATAATGCTAACCGTTTTCATTCACCCACGCTAGTTGCAGTGCTAACGGTTTCGTATGCGCATATTTTAATAGTAAGTAGCTGCTTACGCGTAGTTTTATTTTTATATCTATTTAGTAGCACTTTTACACAATTGATTTCCCACCTTCATACATATATACATGAATACATACGTACATACATTCATATGTATGCAATATATTCGTAGATACTTTAAGCATGGCCATGATGGCGTCGCTAGTCGAAGGATATTCGCTACCTAAACATTCGCTTTCATTGCGCTTTGATTGTGAACTTGAAAGTGGCGCATTTAACGGAGATCGGGGAAAGTAAACATCTACTGTCGTTTAACAAATAAAAGCACTTTGACTATTATCAACGATTTATTACGTGTATTTAGTGCAAAAGGAAATGGAAAAGAAGAAGGAAAGTGTGTACCAACTATTTCTCATGATTTGATGAAGCTACTAGAGGATACCTTTGGTTATTTGTCAAGAAACGTTTGCACAAAGAAAAAAGCAGTAAGTGTGAACTGTTCTACATACAATACAGTCAGTGTCAAATATAAGTGTACACCTTGTTCTAATATAATATTCACAATTATTTTGTTGACAATTTTTTTTCGTTAATTATTTATGAAAATATAGTGCATTCTATAACATAAACCATTTAAATTAAAGTTTCATACTTTATATGAAGTTCATAAAAATTCCAAAAAATTTCATCAAAATTTTTATTTAGAATTTCTAGAAAATTTCCGAGTACGCAATTTTGTAACCCGTTCAATTTAAGGTTAACGAAGTGCAAGTTTCAAGTCGATAGAAATTACCGTTGATTTTTTGGATTTTTTTTTTTTGTAGAGAGTGCTGCGCGTTTTCTTCCATATAACGCGTGATCAAAATTTTTTTTGATATGAAGAAAAATGCGCAACACCCTCCACAAACAAAAAAAAAAAATTAAAAAAAATCAACGGTAATTTCTAGAAACTAGAAAATTTCACTTTGTTACACTAAAATTGAACGAACTATAAGACTGCCTACTGTAAAATTTTCTGGAAATTCTGAATCAAAATTTTGGAGATTTTGATGAAAATTGTTTGAATTTTTGTGCTTTTTATATAAACTTTGAAATTTTGATTTATATGGTTTATGTTATACAAAGAACTATAATTTCACAAATAATAAAAAAAAAAATTTCAATGAAAATATTTGTGAATATTATATTAGAACTAGATGTACACTTACATTTGACACTGACTGTACATATGTTTTCATATGTATTAAAGACTAGCAAAAACCCGGCATGCTTCCTTGCGCCGTTAAAGTATTTTTGTGTTTTTACTGCCTTTCACTATATCCAAAACTCTTTGTTAATATTGTTTTGAAAGTATTTATAAATTAGGCAGATTTTTTAAAATTACAAACAAATTTGATTTAAGCTTTTTATTGGAAGATTGTAGGCATGTACTTTGACTTCCTTAAACTTCTTGTTTTTCTAAAAAAAAAACGTCCGAATTCACAAATTTAGTTTAATGACCAATAACCGTACTTGTAATGCTTTTCAAAATTAAATAATTAGTACCAGGTTGACCGAGCTTTGCCCGGAGTGCATACAATTTTTAATGTTTTCAACATTTGGATAGCTTTAAAAAAATATGTTGGAAAAAAAATTGGATTTCGATATCTATTAAGTAAATTTCTTACTCTAAAATTTAGGTGGCAACCCAATTCCGAAATGCACTGGAATGAATGGAGGTCAAATCTAACAATTTAAATTTTAAAACCACTTGTAAATTCACTTGTTGCACAAATCAAAACTTGTGGGATTGAACATACATACATACATGCATACAGTATTTATACTCATATTCGTATGTGCGTATAAGCCCGCATGAAATTGAGTTAGCACACTTGAACTACTTTATAAAAAAATAAAATAAAATATAAAAGTTCACAACAGGCTAAAAAAAAAAAAACAACAAAAACAATTTCGAAACGATAAAGTTTCCATTTCATTGTAGTGAAATGAGTCGAGACCATTTGTTTTTTTTAGCCAACTCATGCTTGAATCGAACAAATTCTACGTCATCCAGCAATTGATAGTGTCAACTCGAAATGCTTCTGAGTTTGCCCTGCCCAGCACTGCGACTTGTGTGTGGCAAATCGGGTATGCCCTCCTGACTATTTAATGATTTGGCCAATTCAAAGCCGCTTGCAGGCGAGCATAAACTTAAGCACGCCAACTTGCCACTTGCCACTTGTATCAGAACAGTTGGTTGCCTCTTTATAATAGACACTCACTTGTTGCTACAGTTCAAGAATAAAAAAAACAGAGGTGGAGATTGTGTGAAGAAAGCAATGTGCAAATATCAGTTGCAGCTTTTATATCCTTGTAAATTTGTCTTCACACATACACACGCACAGACATACTGCTAAACTCATCGACGTAATGGTGTAAGGCAAACTGAACCCAATAAGCTAAATAAATTCATTGTAAGGATTTACAATTTTATTTTCATGCGAGTAGCAATGGCAAAACTCAGCAAATCTTAATTAGTGCGCCTAAAACTATGCCGCAAAGCATTGATTTTACGCGCTTAAAGGATGACAACTGTCATTGTTTTTGTCATGAGCTAGGGAGTACGTGCCAAAGAAATAAAGTCGACTCCAAAGTTAGTTGCATATTTAAAAAAAAAAAATGGTCCATTGAAATTGACATAAGTAAGCTGCCACTAACTCTAGAGTCGACTTTTTTTTAACTTAATCCAACAAGTATTCCTTAACCACAGCACAAATGCTCGCTGGGAATATGTTGATGAAAAATGCTGGTAGTAGAAAAAGGAGCAAATGTTAATACAACATTTTGCTATCCATGTGGGAGTTGAAAATGTGGCAAGAGCGGTTTTATCATTGTTTGCTGCCTAGTTGTAGGCTATAAAAGCACCCTACACGGCATTAGGATCTTGCAGTTTCCTTTCAGAAATCGGCCCGACGAGTTGTCCGGAAAGTACGCGTTCGTAAAACGGTTTTAATTTTTTTTTCTCTATACCTCCAATTTTTGTGGAAAGTAAAAATTTTGTGCACTTCTGAAATTTATAACTCACAAATTCAAAAAAAAAAAAACAAAAAATGAGCGCTTCTGGCAAAAGTTTATTGGGGCTATGGCTCTATCGCAGCGGTGAGCAGGAGTGGGCTGTGAAGCATGGTAGCCCGCTGCATACACTACGCAAAGAGCATCGCAGTCTTGTAAGCGTTTCGTCAAAATTGTCTCTAAAAAAAAAAAATCCAGTTTGTGAATATAGTTTTATTTCAAATGTCGATTTAGGATAAGTCGAATTCTGAAAGCGGCAGTGAGAAAGGCAGTTTGGCTTTAAGTGATGCAAATTCTCAAGCCATGTCGGGCGATCGTGTTTCTATAATTTTTACGCTGAAAAATCAAGTTGGCAATTTGGCCAGAGCATTGCAAGTTTTTCAGGAGCTGGGCATTAATGTCCTACATTTGGAATTATCTCCTTTGGAGAAAGCTAGCAACCAGGTGAGTTATCTGCTGTTATATTAGATATACTATGTATGTAGATGCAAGGTGAGGGGTTAGTTTTATTCCCTTAAAAAAAAATGATCAACTCGAAAAATAGCAAACTTAGTTTTTCATAAACTAGGAATTGCTTGCACGGAATTTTATGCAACATATAAAAATTGTAAAAGAAATGGAAAAGAATCCTCATAAACCCCCCCAGCTTTAAACTAGTTGATTGAGTATTTTACAAACTTTATTAACAAAGCCAGTTTAATAAAATATTTTTATCATAAAATAATTGGGCTCGATTGACAGGTAAAAGAAACCCGTTTTTTCGCAATTTTTATTTTTTTTTTGGTGGAAAAATTTAATTGAGCTTAACCCAATGTTTAATATGTTGTTACTATTGTATATTAGGGTGCCTCACAAAAAAAAAAACAAAACAAAATTGTGGGCTTTTCCATCCAAAGAATTATTAAAAGAAAATATTAAAATTCTCGTGAGCTAGAACGATTTGAAAATATTCAAAAATATCATAATTTTGATTATGTTGATACATTTTTTGAAAATTTTTATGCAGATCTTTAAGCTTTAACTCTTCTATCACCTGAAGGGATTTTTTCGACAAATATTTTTTTAAGTTAATTTTATTTATAAAAAACTAGATTTTTGTGGGTGTTTTCAAAAAGATCCAGCTCACGTATCGCTAATTCCATGCGAATAAATTGTTCCCATAATTTAACATGCAAAGCAAAAGCAAATTGGAGAAAATTGTATTTGTTTTACTTTATAATTTTTGGGAATATTTGTTTTTTGACTCCGATGAAAAAGCAGCATTGCTTTTTTGTGGAGAGTGATGCACCTTAATGCACATATATGTATTAACGCTGCTGAAAGAATATGTTCAAATGATTTGACGATATTAAAATTTGTAGAACGTCGCAGCTCACAATTTTTGTCTGCCGGGGTCGACGTGGCCGATTAATCGAGGTGCGAACTTTCACTTCGTAGGACCAAGATCCGATCCCTGGTAATAGCGGTCGCACAGTGTGGAGAAAGAACTTTATTTTGTGTCAAAATAAAATATCTGGGAATAGAGAAAAAACTGGGAAATAAATGTAAGATTTTGAGATGAAGAATTCCAGAAAAATAGTCTCGTTTCATAAAAAAACTAGCTTGACCTTCAAAATAGAAGGTTTTTAAGCATTTTATTTTTTTTGACCTAAAAAGAGTATAATGAACTTTTTAAAAGTTTTAAACACATATTTTTTCCTGTTCTTGCGTCAAGGAATCCAAGACCGCAAGAATAGAAAAATGCCTTTTAATTTTTTCTTTTTCTAGGTCTAAAGAAAACAAAAAAATCTTAAAATTTAGCTTTAAAGGTAATTTGAAACGTCTGATTGAATGAACAATGGACCTTAAACCGACCTTCAAATGTAAAACGCTTGAATTTTACTATTTTTTTTCAGTTCAAAAACGAAAAAAAAACTTGTACGAGTTTTATTTTTAAGGGTAAGGTAGTTTTTCTTTAATCAACGAGTTTATTTTTTGTGAATTCTCCATGTCAAAAAAAAAAAAAACCCAGATACATATTATATTTTGTCACAAACAAAAAATTATTTTCCACACTGTGCGTCACCCTTCGACTGTAATTCTCTGCTATAAAAAAGCTTCTCACAGAAATCCATTTGCCGTTCGGAGGCGGTATATAATGTATGAAAATTTTGCGGATAAAAGAAATTTCTTCAAGCCACCAACCGATTGTTGAATTATTGAGATTTTCGAATTAATTTTTTTTTTAATTTTTAAGCCTTTTTCTGCAACGCTAAACCCTAACACTGCGTGGACTCTTTTTATATCCTTCATATATAACTTTGGTCCGATGTTTGTAAGAACCAAGAAGAATAAGAAATAACCAAAATGATCAGTTGTCAAGATATCCGACTGAAGTTCGTTAAGCGGTTGTCTTTTTATAATCTTTTAATCATTTGTCAGAACCGACGAATCGGACCACTTTAACATACATATGTACATACATATAGCCCCCATAGAACCGATTGTTTAGATATTCGATTTTGCATTACAGCCTCTCCATTTAATACCACAGCAATGGGTTGAAGTTAAATTCTCTGCGCTTCATGAAAGGTATAAAGCCTTCAGCATAGCCGAAACCAACACAGTCCTTACTTGTTTCTTAGTCAACTCTTACTCAAGTTTCATTGAATCGTATAGTACAAGGTTCTCATGTTTGAACAAAAAGTGGACCTTGAACGAAGCGTTGCTCATTTCAATCCGTAGTGTCTTTTTATCAAAATCTTTAATTTATTTTCATAGGATGAAATTTCTTTACCACTGCTCTATCAATCGTAAATACATAGACATATATGTATGTATTTATGCACATTAGGCAGGGTCTTCAAATGCGATTTTTAAGCTACGATAGAAATTGGTCTACATGGTTTTAGAAATTTTGATCTACTCGTACCTTCGAGCAAAAACGGAGTACAAAAACCGTTGTAGTTAGAAAACTGGAAATCGTTACTTTATTGAATAGAGAATTAAAATATCTGCAGTTTGCTATTCCCTTGGTCCGAAGCGCCAAAAAAGGTCTGAAATAAATCAGGGTGTTTTGGAAATGTCTCCAAAAAAGTAAAACGTTCAACGCCTAAGAAATTGTAATGGAGAAAATTTTTTTTCTCTTTAAACAGAGGTTGCGATATTTGGATTTTGGTCAAAAGTGGTTCACTACTTTTCTTAAATGATGTAGACGAATTTGTAGCTTTAGTTTAAAAATCTCATTTGACGTCCGACCCTGCTTAACGTACACATGTAAGTGTCCACTCGTATTATGAAGAGATTAAGCCCTATCATTATCAATAAACTAATTGGAGTTATCGCCGCTTGTATTGGCAGACGATAATTAATATGTACAATCAATCAAATGGGCGGAAAAGAAATGCGGTTAAATGTTTTTTTTTTGTTTGTGCAATCACTTTCAATTATTTATTATAGACAATTTTTAATGTTGTTCTCAAGCTCGATTAATATTTATTAGCGTTGTTATTGTTTGGTCATAATAGCTATATGTAGCAGACCGGGTTTGTGTGGTTGTCATTGGGGAAAAGTTTTTCCTTTATCAGTGGCTCAGCGACAGGCGACAGGCAATGGCACATCTCGAGGACATTTCAAGCTTGACGAAACTTCTAATAAAATCTGCTCTCTGTCACTTCATTTAAAATGTACATAGCTAGCTGCATACATAAATACATATGGATGTATGTATGTACATTAGGGTGGTCCAAAAATGCATGTGAAAAAGAAAAGTCGGATTTTTTATGCTGTACCGAAAAAAGTACACCCTTATTTTTTTGTTTTGAAATCAAAAAAATATTTAGAGGTCGCTCAAAGGGCCCAAAGTTTTCAATGTATTCTATATAGGGGAAAAACGACTTTTCGTAGAAATGATATAGAATTCTTGAAAATCAATATTTTTCGATCGGAAAACTCTGGTTCTCTTCGGGAAACTTTCAGTAATAATACCCAATTGTTTATTTAACAATTTTTTAATACTAACGATTTTTTGTTGGTCCCCCTGTTACATTTTTCGGGGTTTTTGTAGGTTTTTTGGCGGACCCATAAATCATAGTTGCGATGAAAAAATTGTTAAATAAACAATTGGGTATTATTATTGGGAATCTCCTGCATAAATGAAGTTTTCCAATAGAAAAATAATGATTTTTAAGAATTCTATACCATTTTTACGAAAAGTTGTTTTTCGTCTATATATGTACAACAAAAACTCATAACTAAACAAACAGTGGCACGGTAGATATGCCTTATAAAGCACCGATCTCAATCGTAAATGGTAGACCTTCTATTAACTATACAGTGTCGAACAAAGGTATTAGTACAAAGAATTTTTCGAAATGTACGCACATTTTTTTTCTAACTTCTTTTCGCTAATTATTTATAAAAAAATATGTAGTTCATACTACAACAAAAAGCATACGATCTCTTTATGCAAAAATTCGAGAAAATTAAACAAATTTGCAGTATTAATTTGTAAATCAATGCGATTTTCATAGCAGCTTCCAACTTGTATTTTACTATACTAAAACAGAATGCAGACTCTAAAAAAATCTGATTAGAAAGTTGCAAATTAGTATGAAAATTTATTTAATTTTCCTGAGCTGTACACAAAGTTTAGAGATTTTAATTTTATGTTTTTCGTTGTAGTATGAACTATTTATATTTTTATAAAAAAGTTGCGAAAAGAAATTAGAGTAAAAAACTTTGCATATGTTGCCAAAAATGCTCTGTGCCAATACTTTTGTTCATCACTGTAAGTTAACAGACCACACAACGGCTTTAGCTGCCTACTTTAAGGAACAATCAGTGATATGAGAGATATACCTTATAGATACATACGGATATTAATGATTTTCTCAGTAGACCTTGTATGATTAAATAGTAAATAACCAAATTGCACGGCTTCAGCTGTCTAAATGAAGAAATTTTCAAATAAAACCTAATATCTGAAAATTCGGTTGTATGCGAGCTACAGATTATAGTGACCTAATCTCTGTAATTTTCACTGTAAACTCTCTGTTGATAAAAAGTGAAAATAGTGCGAAATTTCAGGAGTTATAACGGAATGTCTTTTATATGAACAATCAGTTATATGGGAGCTACATATTGTGGTGGTCTGATTTTGCCGCCTCCGACAAATGAATAATGCATTCTAAAAATGCTATATGCCGCTTATAGAATTTCAGTCGAATATCGACGTTTTAATCATTTACGTTTACTTTTTTAATGGGTCTATCTCTTCTTATTCTAATACTTATAAAAGTTATGTATAATACCGTTTCATGTTCATGTGAAAACCATCTAACCCTAGCGCCTAAAGGCATACTACTGCCTCGATAAACCCACAGAAAAAGTGCAGCACAGATATTTATGTATATACATACTAGCAGACCCGGCGAACTTCGTCCCGCACAAAGTTTTTATATATTTTATTGAAACTTTTTGAAATTCTCCAGTTGTGCGGCATTACATAGCACGGTTATTCGCAAAG